AAATAGAATAGAAAATAAAGGAATTAAAATAGAAACAAATAGAAAAGAATAAAGTATAATGGAATATAAAATAAGGGAAAAGTAGAGAGTAGAAAAAAACAATAGAATATAAAATAGAATAGAACTGTATATAAAGTCAAGTTCAAATACCAATTCAATACTTTTCTCATTCGATTAAAATTTTCTGAATTCAGTCAACTTCAATTCAACCAAATTCAGAAATTCAAATCGAATTAGAAAACAAACAAAACTAAATAAATTCCAAAAATGAATTTGCCAAAAAATATTTAAATAAAATGTTTTTGTTCTGCATTTCTGTTTGTTACACTGATTTATATCTGCAAATGTTAACAGCTCACTCAACAGAAGTTACCCACAGTGCCATGTATATTTTATTATAAAAGGCTGCCATGGAATCTGTATGAAGTATAATAAAATGGGCTCTCCACAGATGTAATTTTCCTACCTCGGAGTGTGTGTAAAAAGAAAACACAACATCTAACAAAACAAAATGGTGGAGTTGCTATTGCAGACATCTTTCTGAAGATGCTAGTTTTCTGGCTGTTACCCAGAAAAAGAATACAGATTAGTTCTGACTTCATTGTTTGTGTGCTTGTTTATGGTAGGTGTCTCAGAATGTTTTGAAACTAGTAACAGCCTACTAGCTACTCTTTTCAGAAAAGTGTCAGCAATGGCAGCTCACATTTATTTCTTGGGATCGTTTTTTTTAAACATAATAACACACAATATACTGTAGATTTGGTTCTGGTGCCTGGCAAGAAATGAAATCCACTAAAATAATGTCTATAGCTCCTCTAGCAACAGCATATTGAGCATACTCGTATACTTCAGCTGGCTTTCTGTAGGCAACATTTATAGTACCACCACTACACACAGACCTAAGGCTAATACTACACCAAATAATTTTTCATATTGTCTAATTTTTTTTTTTTTTTACAATGTCTAAATTGTATTTGTTTATAAACTGACCTAATACTGTAAACTAGTTATAAATTCTATATAAGAAACATGAATACCGCATGTCTTTAAAGAGGAAAAAAAAATAATAGTAATGCATAAATAATATCTACCAAATCTAAAGTTGTCCCTATCCTATTGGACAAGTAACTATAAGTTTTAATCTAAGTTGTTTTGACAGATAAACAGGGAAATTTAATAATTTTAAAGAGCTTCCCTTGCTGAGTTCTTGAAAAAAAAAAAAAAAATATATGAATGATTAACAAACATGTTGAATTCCATCCTTACGGAACAACTTGACTGTGCCTAGGAGCATTATGACTGGTGGACTCCACGAGAGCAAATGGGAAAAGGAACTCACTCTTACAATTTCAGAGGGTACTTTGGGAGACTTCAGTACCATTTTGAACTCTCTTACACTGCTCTGGCAATCATTTTAGCAATACTGTACATGAATTTAAAAAACATGAAACAAAAGTAATTTGATCACAACTGTCTGACACTTGGCATACTCCTAATCCAGACAGGAGAGGACTATACTTACTACTCCCACATACATACCTAATTCTTTGAAATAGACTATATCTTCATCTCTCAAAGAGATCGCCTGAAACTCACCTCCACCACTACTGCCAACTTCAGACCATGTGCCATTCATGGCTATGCTGTAAACTTTCCTCTCCAGAGCACAGTAAATGGACTCGGAGGTTAAACTCATCCCTTCTTGCAGACTCTTCTATAGCATGGAAGATCGCTGACCATCAGAAATTTTCCAGTTCAGTGTCATTGCTTTCACTTTAAATAGTGTGTTTGGGCCAAATTCCAGAACAAGTTTAGAACCACCCCTGATGCAGCCATCAAATAATTCTCAACCCTGCAGAAGAAAAGGGGCATCACTACTTTAAAACGTACCTCTGACCCCTTTACAAGGTAACTCAAGAGTTCCCACATAGAAATATCATGGGATTTAATAGATAATGATCTCCTATATGCACCTTTATGACAAAAGTATTTTTTTTAAATGGTGGTTCTATCTACATGTCAAGCACTACCTGACTAATGCACAGGATGTTGCCAAAAGTCAGCACATAGAATCAGTTTCATATACAACTGTACAGATATGTAAATACATAAAATGCACAGAAGATACACAACTTTGCAAAAATCCCCCACTTCCTTTCAAAATGCATGTCTAGGAAGGGGCCATTCCAGGCACTGTATCTCCTTGCTTTATACAGTATTGTGGAAAAGTCTTAGGCAGGTGTGAAAAAAAATGCTGTAAAAATTAAGAATTCTCTCAGAAATAGAAGTGGTCATAGTTTATTTTTATCCATTAACAAAATGAATAATAAATTCTTTTAGGTACACTTGCAAACAGTTTTTGAAGGAACTTGGCAGGTAGGTTGTTCCAAACTTCTTGGAGAACTAACCACAGGTCTAATAATTATGCAGGCTGTCTCTCCGAGTCTGACTGGGATTACATGATGATGTTGAGCCACTGTAGGAGCCAAGCCATCACTTCCAGGACTCCTTGTCCTTTACACTGAAGATAGTTCTTAATGAGATTTGCTGCATGTTTGGGGTCATTGTCCTGCTGCAAAATAAATATAGGGTAAAATCACACACCTGCAAATAAAAATGTCCACCTCCCAAGTCTATAACTGGCTTATGAAGCAAGGACACATAAACAGGCATCACATAGTGAATAAAGGGGAGAGAACAATGTTCTTGGACAACTTGCCAGCCAGCTTGCTAACAACCAAATTAACCTGTCTAACAGTATGCGTTTAGAACAGGGGTTTAGTTAGCACACATTTGCAAATACATACGTAAGCCACAGAGCCACGTCACGGCACCCTGATAATCTGTGGTCCTAACTCTACAATTTCTGAGAGTCCCCCCATAGTAGAGGCACATGCATTTAATGGATAGATCAAGGGCAGGTGTACCTGAGGGAGCCCACCCCTCACACACCTCCCTGATGATATAGCTTGATGGTTAAGTGTCAGCCTGTACCTCTCATCAATGAGGATATCATTGATCCTGACCAAATCTCCAACTCCATTTGCAGAAATGCGTCCACAAACTTGCAAGGAACCACCACAATGCTTCACTGTTGCCTGCAGACACTCATTATTGTACCACTCTCCAGCCCTTTGAGAACAAACTCCCTTTTGCAACAGCCAAATATTTAACTCATCAGCCCAAAGCACCTGCTGCCATTTTTCTACACCCCAGTTCCTATGTTTTCGTGCATAGTTGAGTTGCTTAGCCTTGTTTCCATGTCCTATGTACAAATTTACCTATGGTACAGAACCCCAACTGTCCTGCATAAAATGAACTGGTGAATAACAAAAATGTCCTGGTGGCAACGCAAAGTGAAAGGCAAACTTTCACATTTTGGTTTAGTTCAGCAATCCAGCCATTTTGTAAGAGAATTCAAAACTGCTGACAAACATTACGGTAACTAAATTCAGTGCCATACTCATGAGCAAACCTTCTGCTCCTATTATAACTCCCTGCATAGACATCTGATAAATGCTGCACAAAAAGTAATACCTCGACACTAATGATGCACACACACACCTACCAAAAGATATGTATGTTAACTATATCTGTGAGATGAATGAATTGTCAGCTACACAAGGCACTTGAACCTTTCATCACAATGTGATATTACTGGAAATGCTTCACTTTTTCCCATGAATAATAATAAAAAAAAACTAGTCATAAGTGTATAAGTCATAAGTAGCCTTTGCTAACACTGCCCTCCACCAGAAATTAGGGGACTCTTTTCCTCCTTTGATGAAAATTGAATGATGACCAACATACCCCCCCCCCATCTCCCCCCCCCCCCCCCCCCCACTAAACCTCTTCTACCATACCTTCCCATGCCCCAGAATAACCCCCCCCCCCCCCCATCCTTTTTGTTATCTCCTTCTTTCTTTCTGTTTAAATACCCATTGTGTAAAATTTAGCCTTGTACCCAGTCTGGGAGGGGATCATGGGGCCCCTGTGTCTTGCCCAAACTCAAAAAAGCCTATAAAAATGGTACCAGGGGCATCTCATGGGGCCCCCTACTGACCCTGGGCCCTCGGACAGTGCCCGAGTTTCCAAATGGTCAGTCCGCCCCTGTGTTACACTTAAATAAATTGAATTGCAGAAAAAAATCTAATAGAAAAAAGGGATAAACAGATTAAGCTTCCCATAATTCTATAATAATAATAAATGAAGCGTGCGCATATTCAGAAATATCTAGGTGAATAAAGAATTAAATGACGATTATGTGCAAATACTAAGATGCAAATATTCACTGTACTATACTAATGGCGTTGTACTCCATAGGCCCTCACTTTCACTGTCCTTTAACTGAATGACCTAATCATGCACAGCAATAGATGGGGAGTCTATTGTACCGGCATATCCAGCTGCTTTCACTGTACATGTTCTGTAGCTCTCCCTTTTAAATGCAAATTTAGCTCTGTATCCCTTACTGGTAAAGAGAGGCTCTGGGAGGGGAATGCAAAGCAAAGTCCTTTTTTTGTATTGAAGTCCACAGCAGGTGCTTAGAGTCTCATGTTCACCCCAGCAGCTGACAAAAAACATTGTCCCACCTGTCAAACTGTAGACAAGCAAACTGTACTGTACTCTCTAAATACCCAGAGAACATGCAGGAACAATTTTACTGCTTCTTTCAAATACCCAATAAACTGTGTGGAAGAAATGTTAGTAGTAGGCAGTGATTAATATGAGAAGTGTATAGCACTGGGATATCAGGAATATATCCACTTAGATCGTATGTTCAGGCTCTGAACAATCTAGATGATTTATTTATGCTATTTCATCAGATATAAACCATGTTTAATTTATGACCCATGCTGTGGTAACTAGAGATGAGCGAATTATTCAAAAATTCGATTCGGCTGATTCGGCGAATTCGCGGAATAAATTTGATTCGAGTCGAATATATTCGCTGCGAATTTAAACTTATAAAAAGGATGTTTCTAGGCTTCAGAGAGCCTTTATATTAGTGCAGAACACTGTACCTTTAATTTAAATGCCCTTGGAGTCTGCTGGGGAAGAGAAATAATACTGTCAGTCAGTATGACATGCAGATGAGTGCCGTCGATCTTAGAATCACCGCACACTTCACTCATTTGGGCAGTCACGGGGCCAAAACCAGAGTGTGGAGCCACAGTGTGGCGGTGGAGGCAGCAGCAATGGGAGGCCATACAGCACCCTATGAAAAAATGGAACCCACCAGCAGTGTGAGGAGACCTGAAAGTGGCACATGGCAGAGTGTGGTAATGGAGACAGCAGCAATGGGAGGCCGTACAGGGACCCATGACACACTCTGGACCTGGCAGCAGCATGAGGAGGCGGTACAGGGGCCCATGACAGATTACGGGCCTGGCAGCAGCATGAGGAGTCGGTATGGGGGACCATGGCAGATTACGGGCCTGGCAGCAGCAATGGGAGGCCATACAGCACCCTATGACAAAATGGAACCCACCAGCAGTGTGAGGAGACCTGAAAGTGGCACATGGCAGAGTGTGGCGATAGAGACAGCAGCAATGGGAGGCCGTACAGGGACCCATGACACACTCTGGACCTGGCAGCAACATGAGGAGGCGGTACAGGGGCCCATGACAGATTACGGGCCTGGCAGCAGCATGAGGAGTCGGTACGGGGGCCCATGGCAGATTACGGGCCTGGCAGCAGCAATGGGAGGCCGTACAGGGACCCATGACACACTCTGGACCTGGCAGCAGCATGAGGAGGCGGTACAGGGGCCCATGACAGATTACGGGCCTGGCAGCAGCATGAGGAGTCGGTACGGGGGCCCATGGCAGATTACGGGCCTGGCAGCAGCAATGAGAGGCCCGTAATCTGCCAGCAGCCTATGACAAAATGGAACCCACCAGCAGTGTGAGGAGACCTGAAAGTGGCACATGGCAGAGTGTGGTGATGGAGACAGCAGCAATGGGAGGCCGTACAGGGACCCATGACACACTCTGGACCTGGCAGCAGCATGAGGAGGCGGTACAGGGGCCCATGACAGATTACGGGCCTGGCAGCAGCATGAGGAGTCGGTACGGGGGCCCATGGCAGATTACGGGCCTGGCAGCAGCAATGGGAGGCCCGTAATCTGCCAGCAGCCTATGACAAAATGGAACCCACCAGCAGTGTGAGGAGACCTGAAAGTGGCACATGGCAGAGTGTGGCGATGGAGACAGCAGCAATGGGAGGCCGTACAGGGACCCATGACACACTCTGGACCTGGCAGCAGCAAGAGGAGGCGGTACAGGGGCCCATGGCAGAGTGGCGAAGCGTAAGCAGCTTAAATTGAAGGCCATACAGAGGCCTATGTTAAAAATAATAACATGTTTGGGGCATGATTCATGGCGGATTTAGTCAGTTGTGTCAGGAACTGGGGGTTTGAAATCCAGACTAATCCACGCCTGATTCATTTTCACAAACGTGAGTCTCTCCACACTTTGGGTGGACAGTCGTGTCCTCCGCGGAGTTACAATACCTCCTGCCGCACTAAACACGCGCTCCGATGCCACGCTACTGGCCGGGCATGACAGCCTTTCAAGGGCAAATTCAGCTAGTTGGGGCCAAAGGTCAAGTTTCGTTGTCCAGTAGTCAAGGGGATTGTCTACCTCGGTTGGCAGGGTGCTGTTCAAGTAGGCCCAAGCCTGTTGTTTGAGGTCCTGCTCCAGGTCCACCTGATGCTGCTGCTGCTGCGGCTGGTTAGTAGTTTCCTCACTGCGCTGGTGAAGAAAGCTACTCATCATCGACTGCAGACTGAGGCAGCCGCTGCTGGTGGAGCTGTACAGTCAACACACTGTAGGCCCAGGCTGACAAATCTGTGCCATCTGTGTCCCTGAGTAACAATTCTGTGTCCCTGAGTAACAATTCTGTGTCCCTGAGTAACGATTCTGTGTCCCTGAGTAACAATTCTGTGTCCCTGAGTAACAATTCTGTGTCCCTGAGTAACAATTCTGTGTCTGTCCCTGAGTAACAATTCTGTGTCCCTCAGTAACGATTCTGTGTCCCTCAGTAACGATTCTGTGTCCCTCAGTAACGATTCTGTGTCCCTGAGTAACGATTCTGTGTCCCTGAGTAACGATTCTGTGTCCCTGAGTAACGATTCTGTGTCCCTGAGTAACGATTCTGTGTCCCCGAGTAACGATTCTGTGTCCCCGAGTAACGATTCTGTGTCCCTCAGTAACGATTCTGTGTCCCTGAGTAACAATTCTGTGTCTGTCCCTGAGTAACAAATTCTGTGTCCCTGAGTAACAATTCTGTGTCCCTCAGTAACGATTCTGTGTCCTTCAGTAACGATTCTGTGTCCCTGAGTAACGATTCTGTGTCCCTCAGTGACAATTCTGTGTCCCTGAGTAACGATTCTGTGTCCCTCAGTGACGATTCTGTGTCCCTGAGTAACGATTCTGTGTCCCTGAGTAACGATTCTGTGTCCCTCAGTAACGATTCTGTGTTCCTGAGTAACAATTCTGTGTCCCTGAGTAACAATTCTGTGTCCCTGAGTAACAATTCTGTGTCTGTCCCTGAGTAACAATTCTGTGTCCCTGAGTAACAATTCTGTGTCCCTGAGTAACAATTCTGTGTCCCTCAGTAACGATTCTGTGTCCCTGAGTAACAATTCTGTGTCTGTCCCTGAGTAACAATTCTGTGTCCCTGAGTAACAATTCTGTGTCCCTGAGTAACGATTCTGTGTCCCTGAGTAACGATTCTGTGTCCCTGAGTAACGATTCTGTGTCTGTCCCTGAGTAACGATTCTGTGTCTGTCCCTGAGTAACGATTCTGTGTCCCTGAGTAACGATTCTGTGTCCCTGAGTAACGATTCTGTGTCCCTCAGTGACGATTCTGTGTCCCTGAGTAACAATTCTGTGTCTGTCCCTGAGTAACAATTCTGTGTCCCTGAGTAACGATTCTGTGTCCCTCAGTAACAATTCTGTGTCCCTGAGTAACAATTCTGTGTCTGTCCCTGAGTAACAATTCTGTGTCCCTGAGTAACGATTCTGTGTCCCTGAGTAACGATTCTGTGTCCCTAAGTAACGATTCTGTGGCCCTAAAGTCTCTCTGGCCCTAACTCTGTCCCTAATACAGACAGGTCTGTCTCTCTTGAATGACCGGAGGCTAATGGAGAATTGTAAGATGGCCGCAATTTATAGCTCCACCATTACACAGTGCTGGCTGGCTGGCTGCTGATTGGCTAATGCGATCACATGTCATGAATGAATGCATTATGGGTCAGCGCGCCTTGTCTGCGCGCCTTCCCAGAGATCCCCGCTCCGTCGCCACACATGTCGCCGCGCCATTTCTGGGAAAATTCGATTCGTGCATCCGAAGTTTGCTAATTTTCGGATTCGGCGCGAATCGAATTTTTCCTGATCTTCGAAACGAATTCCACTTCGCCATGTTCGATTCCTCATCTCTAGTGGTAACCCATATCAGCTAGTCAGTAATCAATATACTTTTCTCTGGCTGTTTTATGGCATTTATTCAGGGGCTTTTGTTCACATCACTACTTCCTTTCCCACCATACAAACCAATATAATAGGAAGCAATTAGGAAGGAGGTCAAAATCACCTGTGAAGGAATTACAGAAGGTCAAAAATTGCTGAAAGGTAAAAAAAGGGTGCTTGCAAAAGATATATCACTGCTCTTTGCAGCATTCTCCTGTGAGCCCAGAACACCATTGGGACACACCACAGGGATGTCCCTGTTGCACAGGCCCCCACCCCCCCTCCAAAAGTCGGCTGAGAAATTATGGGCTTATTTTTTTATGGGAGAGGCTATAAAATAAATAGACTGGAATTGTCAGCAGAACACACAAGTAAATGTAAAATCTGACAGGCTGGTTGTACGCAAGTTGATCGATCATTCAACTTGGCTACGTTCAGTCTGCTCATAAATGGTTGGAAATTCGGCTGATCTCTGTCGAGCCGACTGAGATTTGAACTGGCTATGGCTGGCTTTAGTCAACACACTGTAGGCCCAGGCTGACAAATCTGTTTTTTTTTCAAATCCAAACAACTTTTATTGTCAAGATAATAGAGAAAATGGAACAGTACTTACAGAATCCACAATGACATTACTGCAACAGCAGGATTACACATAAATAGAACAACGTGGATACACAGATCCCGTAATAAACAGAATAACAGATATGGTAATCAAACAAAACAGAGACCACAAGGATCCAAAACTTTCTTGAAAATATCTTGCTTTTTCCTTTTTACGTCTTATTCCTTCCCGACCAGATGTAAGCAGAAATGGGGGAAAGGAACAAAGCCAAAAACATCTTCAAACGTGCACTTGCCACGAAAACGCGTTAGAGAGATGCTACTTCACCTACCACTACTACCCATATGGTCCACACCTTGATACGGGCGGCCATCTTTGGATTTGTTTATTGTAAGTGCTTCATTTGTTTATTACTCCTTAATAAAAGTTATTACACCATCGGAAGCCTCTCTTTTGGGTTTATTTCTGAGCCCTGAAGGGGATTCCTGTTCCTTGAGTGCATACCGCACCCCTGGAGGTCGCTGACACTAAAGGATTCCACTACACACTGGATGAGCGTTTTTTCCACTGGATACCTGGTAATGCCACAACAGGAGAGGACTCAGATGTTTCTGGTGACCACAGAAGAGACGACCACCACTCCGGCAGGTTTCCTGATCCATTGACCAGGAGTAGGTCATTTTACTCCAATGCGCTACTATCTGCGCTATCTGGTTAGTGCATTCTACAGCCACACTTCCTACCACAGATGTCACAGATTTATTTTTGTCACTCCAATGATATATTGACTTTGACACCTATGTCACCATTTACACCTTTGTAACCAGGAGAATGTTATAGTATTGGTTGCCTAAGACCATTACTTTTATGCTAGCTGCGTTTATATCTATCCAGGTGGTCACACTTCATCGTGAGACAGACCTTTCTACTCTAGCGCTGCATGTTTTGTATTTGTGACTGTTATCCACGAGGCGTTTTGGAGGCTTCCTTTCATGCTAGCTGCTTGCATACTTTTGTTCTAAAACTATCCAGCGCTCGTTACACCCTTTTTTATATCTTTTTTTATATCTATTTTAATAAAAAAAAAACACATCAACAACAACCTCTGGTTCACCCAAGACGTCTCATCAAAAAGAATGGGCAATGTTCATGAACTCCCCCAGGGGAGGAGTGGAGCCATGGACCTTATATGAAATATCACACCTGCAAAAGTCCACTATCAATTGAGGGGCGAGTTCAGGTGTATCCAGCCAACCCTGCCATACCTGCTGGAACTTACGATAAGCATTGCGATGTTGGTACGTGAGTTTCTCCCGTGGGAGTAAAGAATTAACATAATCTATCCATTACTTACTAGTCAGAGGAGCCGATGATAACCAGTACATTGCTATCAACTTCCAAGCCAGATATAAAAGTCTAGATACCATAATATACCCTCCTGGTTGGAACAGTTCTTGGTCCAGTGCACCCAACAGACAATGCAAGGGATATATTGCGATACTAGAGAAATAAATTGGTAAACCTCACTCCAATATCTATGTAACTTGGGGTAATGCCAGAGCATATGAATGAAATCACCCTGTTTGACCCTACACCTCGGACAATCAGGTGAATCCCGCCTGCCCCACCAATACAGTTGCACAGGGGTCCTATACGATGGAGAATAAACAATTGAGACAATTTATGAGAGGGAGAAAGAAATTCCTGGAACAGATTCCAGGGCAGCATCCCAGACATCTC